TGTTACGATTATCCTTGAACCCTCGTCCGGATTTCCCAAATCTTCCGGTTCGTATCGCTGGATTGTTAAATAAAGGCTAACGATGACCAAATGGTAGTACAATTAACTTTATTGTATAACAAACAATTTTACAATACTTGCTAATACAGTAAAAACACTACAATACTTGTTAAAGCAATTACAACGCTTTACTGAACTTGTTACACACAATTAAACTTATAGCTTGCTTATTCGCAACTCGCTTCTCTGCTCACTTTACTTGTAGCTTGCTGACTTGTAACTCACTCACCTCGCGGTGGCGGCGCCCTTATATACCTGCGCTGGCACTTATGGCAACTCTAGAACATTCTGAAGTTTATCGCTCATTCTCTTTCTCTCGCTGTTCGCAGTGTTCATCCAACTTGACGTTTCTCTTTGTGGAACATTCTACGTCATTCTTCGAACATTCTGCCTATTTCTCGTTGTTCGCTTTGTGTTGCCGCAGTATTCGCCACACTGCCCTCCACCTAAGTCTCCGATCAGACACACTTGCGGTTCCAAACGCTGCAAGCCTTTCCAAGTGGACCACCTTCATCTTGTTTCTTGGTCTCCCAACGGTCTGGATCCGATACACTACGTCATTTAGCCGTTTTACGACCTTATACGGACCTTCCCAGTTGCATTGTAGTTTTGGGGACAAACCTTTCTTTCGTTGTGGATTGTACAGCAACACCAAATCTCCTTCCTGGAAACCCTCGGAATTCATCGCCTTATCATACCTGGCTTTCATCTTGTCACTCATAATTTGTGTGCGCTGTCTCACAAGAGCATGTATCTCTCTCAGCTCCTCTTCCTGGATGTTTGACGTCTCTTTTCCAATCCGTCTAGCATCACCAGTCACCCCAAACTTCAGATCACTAGGCAAACGGAGCTCACTGCCGAATATTACCCTTGCAGGAGTTTTACCCGTTGTTTCATGCACTGCTGACCGGTATCCCATCAGAAACAAGTGTATGCGGACATCCCAATCTTTTTGATTCTTGTCCACGACCTTCCGCAAATGCTCTTCCAGGGTTCGGTTGAACCGTTCCACCATGCCGTCTGATTGGGGATGAAGAGCCGTCGTTCGAGTTTTCCGGATACCCAGTATCTGGCACATCTCTTGGAACACTGCCGACTCAAAATTTCTTCCCTGGTCAGAGTGCAGCTCTATAGGTACACCGTATCTCGAAACCCAATTGTAGGTGAATACCTCCGCTACTATTTTAGCTTCCTGGTTTGGAATCGGGTATACCTCCGGCCATTTGCTAAAGTAGTCCATGACCACAAGGACGTATTTGTTTCCCTGTGCGCTCATAGGAAATGGACCGGCTACATCCATGGCAATCCGCTCGAAAGGTGCACCTGAGTTATATTGCTTCATCTGGCCATGACTTCTGGATTTCGGCCCCTTAGCTGCAATACACTCCGCGCAGTTAGCAATCCACTCTGCGACCGATTGCCGACAACCAACCCAATAGAACCTCTGCTTAACCTTCTCCAGGGTCTTCGTGATTCCCAGGTGCCCTCCACTAGGACCATTGTGGAATTCCTTGAGTTCATCCGGAATTCTTACCCTTGGAACTACTATCAGGTTGCGGGAGCACTGGCCATCTTCGCTTTCCCATACCCTATGCAAACAGCCAGATATTAATTTTAAGCTGTTCCATTGTGCCCAGTACGCCTTTGCGATGGGGCTTTCCGCTGCCATTTGCTCCTTGGTTGGTCTTCTGTCCACCTCCAGTCCATGCATCAAAAGCTCCAGATCAGGATCTTCCTGCTGACACTTTCGTAGCTGATCTTCCTTCCACTCTTCCGCTGGTGTTATTGTCGTTAGACGAACGTCTATAATGTCCTCTTTGCCTTCAGCTTTTGACCAGTGTTTACATTCCAGGCTACATGGTCGGCGGGACATGGCATCAGCATTACCGTGGACACTTCCCTTGCGGTGCTCAATAGCGAAGTCATAACTTTGCAGTCTCTCAATCCACCGAGCTAGTTGTCCTTCTGGATTCTTAAACTGTAGTAGCCACTTCAGCGCTGCATGGTCCGTTCGAACTCGGAAACTTTGCCCATAGAGGTACTTGTGGAAATGTTTGACGCAGTCCACCAACGCTAGTAGTTCTCTCCAAGTTATGCAGTAGTTCCTCTCTGGTTTTCCAATCGACCGGCTATAGTAGGCAACTACCTTCTCCTGCCCATCAATTACCTGCGACAGTACGCCTCCTATGGCATAACCACTACCATCCGTATCCAAAATAAACGTTGCACCTGGAACGGGATACGCTAGCATAGGTGCAGTACATAGCCGTTCCTTCAGAGTTTGGAAAGCCTCCTCCTGCTCCTTGTTCCACTCGAAGGCTCTATTTTACAACGCTTTTATCAACTTGCAATGTTGTGTTCCAGAAACTTTCAATGTTGTGGATCCAGAAACTTTCAATGTTGTGTTCCGACACCAAAGCAAAGCTTTCAAAAGCTCCTATAAAAAAGCATAGTGAATAGGGCGAGGTAGATGACA